TTGGCTACGACTATTACAAATTTCAGCTCAGTATTTCGAAAAAGTTTCAGCATTTAATTAGCTTTGGCAGCCATCTTGGATTTTGTAAAAGATGGTTTCTTGGCTAAATTATAGCCCTTTGTGATCTTAGTATTAGCATTAGCAGTTATTTTACTTGAGAGTAATCAACATGTTATTTTGAGCATTCTTAACTACGATAACAGAAAATTTTAGCTATTTTTTTCATAAAACAGCTAAATTAGAGCTGGTTGAAGTTAGCTGTGGTGGCCGTCTTGAATTTTGAAATCCAGAGTGGTTTTATTTATTTATATATAATGCGCCCCATAAAAACCACCTTGGCCACCCCTGTGCCTCCCAGCGCAAAAATATCTAGCTCCGCCCCCGTGTCCAAGTTGAAGACATATACATAAAAATACAGCAAGATACACTTTCTGCTCATCTTTTCAAATCAATAGTTCTTCAAACTTCATGAAAGTTTTTATAAGGACTATGGCTGTTTTTTTTATACAGTTTCAGTTTTTAAATGCAACTACAACAACACAATGTACAGAAGCATCATCCTTCAGCTAATAGTTTTTTTTAAATCACTTTATTATGGCTAAAATTCTAGTTTCAGTTTGTTAATCTGGGCCACGTTTGATTATTTTTCATACATTAATTTCTTCAAGGACTGGGAGGGAAAACAGCCGAAGACCCAAAAAACAAAACAAAACAAAACAAAACAAAACAAAAAACCTGGAGAGGAATACACAAAAACTACAAACATAATTCAGTGTGAGCGCTGAGTGTTAAATAAGAAAGTAGCTAAACACTAGCTAAAACTAACACAAGAAGGCAAAGCCAGAAGCTGAAAACAATGTTTTTAATACATTAAAAAGATCTGAATATGTTTCTGTGGGGAAATATAATGAAGTAAATTATTATCAACATCAGCCGAACTGAATGAACCGAACATTTTGATGCACAAACAGCTAAAACAGGCCAAAGTTAGCAGAAAATAGATGGAAAAATGGATAAAAAAAGACAGAAAATCTGAGCAAATGCTGACTCAGCGCGAGTAAAGGAAGTAAAAACTAAAAGAGATAAAGGCAGGCAGTAGACAGTGTTAAAAACACCTGGATCAGAAGCGGCACACCTGTGCAGGTGGACACCTGCCTGCCTGTCACATTATCACAGAAGGAGCTCAGACTGGAGGAAGCTGAAGAACTAAAGAGAAGCCCTCACTTGATCCATAATTGATCACCTTCATATGAGGTGGCTGGAAAACAGAGGGAGTCTGATCCAGATAACAAGCACCCCCTCCCCTGCACCCCCCACTCCCCCACGCGTCGTGACGGCTGGATGTGACCGCAGGTTGGAGAGAGGAGTGCGTGAGAGGGCCTCGCTTCCACCTCTTGATGTTTCTTCTCCCTTCTTTTCTCTTTTAATGAGCGTCAGAATGCAGGATTTCTTTTTTTTTACAAGACGGATGAGGGGTGGGGAGGAAAAACAAAAACAACAAGAAAGCAGAAAAAGAGCAAAAGAACAAGCGCTTCTGATAAAAGTGCTTACGGAGCGTTTACGGCAAGTTCTGCAGACGTGCAGCTGAGCGCTGATGTAGGCCAGGAGCCCACAAGACGTGGGGTGGGGGGGTACCTCAGTGATGAGAAACAGCACAACTATCACCTCATACCAGGCTGTTAGAAAATGACACATGCTTCTAAATACAGACATTTTGTCTCCAACGTACACATTAATCCTGTAAGAAATACAGTTTTCATTGTTCTGTTAGAGAGCCTCAGAGTTCTGTTTTTAGTTCATTAGAGAGTCTCAGAGTTCTGTTTTTATTTAGAGCCTCAGAGTTCTGTTTTTATTTCATTAGAGAGTCTCAAAGTTCTGTTTTTATTTCATTAGAGAGTCTCAAAG